AAAAAAAAAAAAATATATATATATACATATATATATATATCTCAATGCCAGGGCCTCACCTCCAGTGGTGGTGATATAACTGGTGGGAGTAAGAACAGGACACTGAGTTCCCCACACTCCTCCAAAGCTCCCCAGAGGATTCTCACGTGCAGCCAGGAGTGAGAATCACTGGTGAAGTCTCATCCTCTAATACCTGACATACTTCAGGGGTACTGAATTGCTTATAGTTTCCAGAATATACCATGCAGTTTCACACCTCCATATTCTTGAAATGATGCTTCCTCTTGCTCTGCCCAGAATGACTTTTCTGCCTGGTGAATTCGAATTAGTTTTTTCCAAGCAAATATTTTCACCCACTGTGGGAAGCCTACGCTGACACCATCTCCCACTACCAGATACGAGTTCATCAATCTCTCTTCTATGTTATTCCTGTTTTCTGTACATGCCTCCATTTTCTTCAATTTAAAGTAGAATCTTGCCATCTGTGGATTTTTACTAAATTTTTGAATTGCTGAATACTTACCATTCCTCTCACTTCTACATTTTTGCAAATGTTGTTCCCTCTGCTTGGAACACCCTTTCCCTCACCTCTCCCTTGTCCTAGTCAACCCTGACAACCCATACAAACATCTGTTAGGACTGAGGTTAGTTATCACTTCCTCCAGGAAACTTTTCTCTTTCTCCAAATTTGAGCTGGGGGCCCCCTTTATCCTTTATACTCTCACAGTACCCTGTACTTCTTCTATCAGAGGTGTGACTGTGATACGTGCTATTTCCTTGTCCGCTGGGGCAGAGGACCGTGTCTGTCTCACTCACCACTCTATTCCTAAGGCATCTCTCCTAATCTGCACTGAAAAGTATTTATATCTGTGTGGCTCCAACGCCAGGGTATTTACCTGGTAGATGTGAGTTTCACTAGTGGCATCAACTGTTTCATGTAGCTTTGGCATATACACTTTAATATCCTTCCCACCGAATGCACGGCAGCACTCGGCAAGATCTTGACTGGCTTCTGGAGGTCCGTGGACAATGATCAGCTGTCGTGGTCTCATCTGATTTATGATTTTTTTAATGGAATCCCCATCAGAGCGTCCTTCATAGTCTATGTAGGTAACCCTGGCTCTGTAATTAGACGTGGTTTCTCAAGTTTACTTATGAGAAAAAGTCAATACTGAAATTAGGTTTTCTATAGCTTTTATCATCAGGAAAGAAATATATACACTATATAAAATGAGGATTAGAGGAATACACGAGTATTATTTTGTTAATACGTGTCAGTCAGATCTTAGCTATTCCCAGGAATATATACTAAATAATACCCACTGGAAAAATAAACCATTTTACTTTCTGATAACCTAAAAAAAAGATTCCAAAAGGTTTCTGTGGGCCTCAAAGGAAGAAAAGGAGCAAGGAGGGAGGAAAGATCATTTACTGGTGTTACTAACTGTGCTAAGTAGACAGGGGAAAAGTTTTCTTCACTACTTCAGATCACACCAGTATTTTTAAGACATGAAGTATTTGAGATGTTTAAGCTAGGAGTATATTTTTGATGAAACAAGCACTCAGAAAAATTAAATTTACAAGATGCACTATTCTCTTTTACCTGCTACTAGACTTACTGAAAAGGCCAGATATACAAATGTACAATTTAATGTTTAATCCCCTCCCGAACACCAATTCCATGACTTTGGCATTCAAATATAATTAATGAAGAGAAAATACCACCACATTTCACAAATCTTTGCATGAAAGAATAAATTTTTAAAAGCATACACGAGAAGAGACTCAGAAATTTCACCTTTGAAACAATGTAAATTTATATAATTCAAGTGTCTTAAATTTTATCTTGTAAACTATTCTCAAATGCAACAAAAGTACTTACTTTATTTCAATGGACTCTGTCGTAGAAATACACTTAGTAGGAACATCAGATAAATCCTGATCCATGGGTTCATCTCCATTTGTCAAGCCAGACTCTAATTTGCTTTTTTCTTCTTCAGTAGCTTGAAGTTCTGGCACTAAGAAATCCTCTGGTCTAAATAATAAATCTCTAATTAGAGTAGTAACAAGCAAGATAATATTATATAATATATATAGCCAACTAGTAAAACCAGTTGCTGTTAAGTCGACTCCAACTCATGGCAGCCCCATATGTGTCAGAGTAGAACTATGCTCCATAGGGTTTACAATGGCTAATTTTTCAGAAGTTGACTGCCAGGCCTTTCTTCCAAGGCACCTGTGGGTAGACTCAAACCACCAACCTCTGGTTAGCAGCCAAGCACATTAACCATTTGTACTACCTAGGGACTCCATCAAACTAGTAGGTGGCCTAATTTTTAGACTTCTCACATCTCAAAATTTAAATATACATTTGATCCAAGCCAATGCAATTTCACAACATCAATTATCAGATGACAGCACATACTGTGTTCTTCATGATCAGTGGGGAACGCTCTTTAAAAATCACCATGTGGTTTCTGGAGCTATGGAGGCTGGATGAACCCCTAAAACTATTGTTGTGAGATAATCTTCAAATCTTAAACCAAAAATATCTCCTGACGTCTTCTCAAAACCAAACAACAGTTTAGCTTAACTAGTAAAGAATACTGCCTTAAGCATTGTGCTCTTTTAAGAGCTATCTATATGAGATCGAAATGACAACAGCAACTCAAAAGATCTGATTGGAAACTTATAGGGCAGGGGGTTTACATTAACGGAGGAGGAACAATTTGGAAAAAGAGAGTGAGAATAGTTGAATAACTTGAAGAATGTAATCAATGTCACTGAATTGTACATGCAAAAGTTGTCGAATTGGTGTATGTTCTGTTGTGTATATTTTCAACAACAATAACAAAATTAAAATAAATTAAAAAAAGTAATAACCACCATGCACATACAGCTGTACATAGACCAAGAGGCAGTCGTTCAAACACAGCAAGGTGATATTTGCATGGTTTAAAATTAAGAAAGGTGTGCGTCAGGGTTGCATCCTTTCACCATACCTATTCAATCTGTATGCTGAGCAAATAATCTGAGAAGCTGGACTATAT